TTTCGCTTCCCTATTTTCATCGCGTTGCGATTTCTGGATAACAGGGAGGATTCTTCTTCGTTGACTTTTGGAATTGTGACAGAGTTTTGAGATGAAAATTATTTAAGGGCGAACGAACTTGCGTTTGTTCATCGATGAAAATGTCGATATTTATCTTTTAGCAACACTTTTATAATGATTGCGTAAAGTTTTTATAAATTATGAAAGTTTATGATGAAGTTTATCATGGCACTTGCGTTACAAGAACGTAGAAAGAAAAAATCAGAATGATATAATTATTTCCTTATAACGAAGAAGAGCTTGCTTTTCGTCTTTTCAATTTTATGGACAGTTTTTTCGATAAAATTTTAAATGTATTTTAAAATATATCTTCTTTAAACTTTTTTAAATCCCTATTAAATCCAATTTATCGAATGTCTACGAATAAAACGAATAAAAATTTATAATTTCTTATTTCCTCGTTTAAAATTATTTCTACTGGAATTACTGAAAAAAGTCTCATCCCTAACTCTTGATTCTTATTCCATAATTTCCCATTCTCTTTTCTACACTTTTAATCCCAATACTTATAAACAAGAATATACATAACCACACCGATCGATATTTCACACGAGCATGCATTATACTCGATATACAACACCTATCGAATGGATCAACATTGCAACTTTACCATCCGTTCAATTGCAAAAACAGGAGTACAAAGAAGCGTACACGTGGAACAAAATCGCGAGAAACCTCGCAATATATATATATGCATCGAACGTGCCGCAACGTAATAAACGAGAACGTCTGGTTCTTGGTCGGTTGAAAAGTGGAGCACACGAGGAACGCGGCGGCGTGACGAGGCGACAAAGCGGCTAATTGATCGATCCTCCATTCACCCGCGCGACCATCTTCGAGAACGATCGGTGTTTAGCGCCAAGATTAACATTGGTCCCTGCGTTTGAGGCCAATTGTACGGCGGAAGTTGGCCAACGACCATTTAAATCTATGGCGGCTGCTACCAACCCTCCCGCCGATCTGTTATAGAAATAATGTTGTGATATTGTTGTGAAATTAATAGGAGGAGGAGAAGACACCGGTGTGCAGGGGAAATTTTGGAAATAAACTCTAAACTAAAACAACGCTGAAACTCGTGTAATGTACGATATATTAATAGGCGGTGGGTCTGAAGAAGTAGTGATGGAGATGAGTGTATCGCGAGTGGGTTCAAGGATCGATTCGAGTATTTTTTAAGAAGAGGAGCAGAGTTTTATTACGGATATCTTTAAAATATTTTCGAATAAAATCTTTCTTAATTAAGAGAAATTTTGGAAATAACAACGCTGAAACTCGTGTAATGTACGATATATTAATAGGCGGTGGGTCTGAAGAAGTAGTGATGGAGTTGAGTGTATCGCGAGTGGGTTCAAGGATCGATTCGAGTATTTTTGAAGAAGAGTTTTATTACGGATATCTTTAAAATATTTTCGAATATTTCGAATATTCGAAAATCTTTCTTAATTAGGAGAAATTTTGGAAATAAACTCGAAACAACGCTGAAACTCGTGTAACGTACGATATATTAATATCGGCGGTAGTGATGGAGTTGAGTGTATCGCGAGTGAGTTCAAAGATCGATTCGAATATTTTTTGAAGAAGAGGAGCAGAGTTTTATTACGGATATCTTTAAAATATTTTCGAATAAAATCTTTCTTAATTAGGAGAAATTTTGGAAATAAACTCTAAACAACGCTGAAACTTAATAACGTAATATACGATATATTAATAGGCGGTGAATTTGGAAGAGGTAGTGATGGAGTTGAGTGTATCGCGAGTAGGTTCAAGGATCGATTCGAATATTTTTTGAAGAAGAGGAGTAGAGTTTTATTACGGATATCTTTAAAATATTTTCGAATAAAATCTTTCTTAATTATTGTAATTTTTACGATACGATAGTTTCGATATCGTAAATTAAATACTGTTTCTTTTTTGAATAATTACAAGTAGAAGAATTAAAATAAAATTCTATTTTTCTTTTATCTTCACAATTTGAGTATTATTTACAAAAGATTCGTTTCATTTCAATATCGAAATATTTATAAATATTATTTTGAAATTGTTAAATATTCATTCTCAGATTCAGATATTACCAACTCGCCGGCCATTTATAACTTTATTCATTATATTACAAATATAATATTTGTATTTCAAATTCCCTTTAATATTCTGAAACTATCTATTATAACTTGCTTTCATCGGTTTCTCGAAAATTACAAATCAAACCAGGATAAATTCCATTTATTTCCACACGTGGAAACTTTCTGCCGAAGGTTGTTTATTAAACGATTAAATATTAATTAAACAGCAATGGTTGCAACAAAAAGTTCGTTGTTCAATTTTACCTAAATTGCAATCGTTATTAAAATCTCACCGTTAAACAAAACTTCAATGTATCATATAAACTTCTCCTCAATCTCTTTCTCTACATTATTATTTCCTTTCTTTTGCAAAAAAAAAAAAAAAATTAACTACTAATAATAATAATTCGACATCATCTAAAAACAATATATACAACGCGTTGTTCAGAGACGAATGAATAAGACAATGTCAATCTTCGAGTCTTGGGCGATTGTAATGCAAATAACGTAAACACTTTTGAGATGATAGTTGGACGAGATTGAATTTTCATGCAATTAGTTACGTGTTCCTTATGCATGATCGATTAAAGGCAGATATGGATTTCGTAGGGTTCTGAGGAACGTTTAATAGATTGTCGACAGAGACGGTTTCTAAAAGTGAATCTGTGACCTGGCACGATATTACGTAGCTACGCGTTAATATCGGTTCTCCCGTACATACACACGTAATTATGTATCGGTGTCCCGTAAACATGTGGCCGTGCGTTAAATAATGCAGGGAAAATAGTAGCCACTGTTGGAATTAAAGTGGCGTTTATATTAATGAGACCGATTAACAATTATCAGTATGTTATTAGTCAATGTTAATATGTGTACAATCAATGCGTGTCCTCGAAATAATCATAACACTGTTTACTGTTGATTAAATAATTTATATTTCGGTTCGAATTTCTGAATCATCTATCTTTTGTAAATTATTTGGAATAACACTTGTATATATATATTTTTTTTTTTTTTTTTTTTAGTTTCTAAGATTATTTCGTACGAGAATAATTTATATATATGTGTTAATATGATATGTAAATGATAAGTAGGAATAAAAATTAATTTTATAATTCTAATGTTGATTTGTTGGTATTAGTATTGAGTGTAAGTTAGGCTGAGGAGATTTAAATATTTAATTTTTGACATTATTTGATATAAGAGTGATTGATATGTAATATTTGTTCAAATGTATTATAAATTATTATAATTAAAATAATGTAATGTATATGTAATTAAAATGAGAGTAATTGAAGGAATTTAGATATCTACTTTCAGCTTTTTTAATTTCTAACATTATTTGATACAAGAATAATTGACCTGTTATATTTATTTAAATATATTATGCATAATGATTATATTTAAAAAAATTAATAAATAATAGGATTTATATATAATATATTATTCTAATGTTGGTTTGCTTAGTTCAATTTTAATACTTAAGCTAAATACTGCTACATTTAATACAAATTTGTTTACAAAAAGATACTTGGAAAGTAGCTAATAGATTCAATATATCAGATAAAATTATTTAAAATAATTAATTTTAAAATAGTCAACGGAGAAAAGATATTGAAGTTGTATGCAAACAATTAATCAAACGATAATTTATTTTCAAGGAAGCTTTTCTCAAAGAAGAATAGACAGGACATTGCACCAACAATTAGGCAAATCGATTAGTTAATCTATTGACATGTTCCACGATCCTATCCTAATTCTGTGTTGATACTGGATAGGGTCAATTACGAAAACATGCTTACGTAATCCATACTTCCAATTTACATACACTAGTACCAGCATCTGGTGCAACTTACTAAATATGCTAAGAAATTTGGCGATAGTATATCAGCAAGTAAACGTGTATATGCAAAACATTATCCACTTTACGTGGATAGGAAGAGAACTTACTCTATCCATAACACGTAGTCTCTTTTGTGTGTTAAAAAAGAAGAATCATTGCCACTTCCTTTTCCTTAAATGTGTATATTTTTTAAATTTGTAAAATGCTTATATTATATAGATTTTACAAGAAAATTTTAATTTTAATAAAAATTTGTGTATTATATATAAATGTAGATCAATTCTTTATTCAATGGAAAATCTCTTTGAGAAGATGAATTCCTTTTCGTTATTTCTTTATGATTTAAAATTTTGTAACCTTATCTTATATTATTACAGAGTTCATGTAAAAATTTTTATGACTGACTATATATTTAAAAATCCTCAATATTACTTTTTTTTAAATATATTCAATACATTTTCATAAAATATATATATATATATGTATACTTTTGGTGTTGATACTGAAAGAAAAATCCTGTCTAAATTATTTAAGAAAATTTTATTTCTTGCTGTATAAACGAAGTAGTCACAGAAATTGATATCAATGAAGTTTGAATAAAGTTTATCCTAGAGAAAAGAATTTTTATTTCTAGAACTCGAGAGACCAGAAATGAAATTTCTTTCTTTTATTTATAGAAAGATTTCACTGAAAACAAGTTTTTACAAGTTATAAAATAAAATCAATAAATATTATATAAACAGTTTATTATGAAATGTTAATGCATTTCTTCTTATGTTGAGATATTTATAGATTTACATTTCAATTTATTAAAAAATATAATATAATTTCAATATAACCACGTTAAAAAGAAAGAAAGAGAAAATACACGTATTAGATTTATTTCAAAAACGATATTTAAAAGTATGGATAAGAAAAACTTACGTAAGCTTTGTGAAAGATATTGCAATGTCCGAAATACCTTTATTTATGAGCATGCATGATATAAAACAGAATCTACTATGAATATTAAACAGATGAAGGCAGCGTTAAATTACCTGTTATACATGAGAACGTCAGGCTTCCAAAGTCTGTGTGGTGGGATCCTGAGGTCTCTCACTCCCCCATAATCTGACACATTCCATCTCATGTTCACATCATTCCATTCCTGTAATTGAAAAAAACTTATTTTAAAATATCTCTTAGGAATTTTTCATCATATCAAATCACTGATATTATGCAATCCATTATACACTTTTTGTAAAATAATAAAATTGCACGTATAAGGAATAGTAAAATGATATTTCAATAAATATTAGAATTTATAAAGCATTTTAATATATTTGTCCTTTTATTTTATTTCTACTTTACAGTATTTTATCTGCTATTTTCATCTTTTTCCTTTTTAACATATCGTTGTATGGATTAGAAAAGATTCTAATTTTAAATAAAGGAAAAATAATTATTTAAGTAATTAATTAAATAACGATAATTAATTTTCTCTGTTTTAACAATTAAACTTTATCCTTTTAAATTTATATTAAATTTTATTAATCCTTTATTAAATTTAAAAATTTGTAAAACATTTATATTTATTCTCTTTTTTATACTATTGTATCTTTGTTCCCTTTTATTTATTTCATATCATTATATGTAAGTTTTAAATAAAAAAAAAATTTCTCATTTCTCTTTATTACAATTAAACTTTTATCTTTACCTTTATCCTCTTTAAATAATTTAATGAAATTTCGATGTTTTATTACTCTTTTATTCAAATTTTTTTCACGATATTAAAAGAAAAACGGGAGCGACGTTACATAAAATTCATTTTAAGAAATATATTTTTTAGCTGCTTGTAACTCTGTTAAACAACAATAGTTTGCCCTTTTTTCGCATAGACCATGCACTGTCGATTCCATGGTGCTAATATCTTTTACAGGCAAGCTTTCGTGAAAATTTTCCAGACTTTCGCTTAGAGTTTGCGCAACTTTGCGGAAAATACGAGGCGATTTGGCAAGTTGCAAAGTTTTGGCGGTATTCTTTACTTTGTTACTTCGACCTTTACTAGCCAAGACAAGTAAAGATACGAACAGTTAACCGGCAAGGCTACATTATAGTATGCTATCGATCCATTAGGATGTTTTTGCGAACAGCAAATTTAACGGTTAAATGAAATCATGTTTATGGTTGACGTGTTTAGCCAGTAGATTTATTTATGTATTTAAATACTTTTATTGTTCAGAATTTGAAGTGATTAATTTTAAATTTTTGTACATGGTTTTTTTTCATTACCAAAAAATGTATTATTTATTATTATTGAAGAAAATGTGAAAATTTTTGTTAGAATCTTATTTTAAGTTTTCTAAGTTAAAAATACACATGCTTTATTTATTTTCAATCTTTGATTCCTAAATTTGTATTATTAATCATTGCAGTTTATTATTTATTTAATTTCATTTGACAGACATATCATTTTTAATATAATTAATTATACATATTATATTTATAAAAGATTGAAGTACTTTGATTAAATGAATATATTTCTAATCTAAAATATATTGTTTAATAGGATAAAGAATAAAATTACTAAACTGTGAATATCTGTGCAATGAAATTTATATATATATATATATATATATATATATATTTTTATGAAAGACAAAAAGACAGAAATGGAACTGAATCAAAGATTTATTTCTTAAGTATCATAATATATATACTACTTTTTATTCTATGTCTTTTTATATATCATTGCATTCTCTAAATATATAAAATGACACGAATCATTAAAAGATTCTTCAATTTTTACGAATTAAAGAAATCAATTATTTTTCACAAATAATTTTTCTTCCACTTAATTAAAATGTTCGAGGTATTTCGACGATTATTATATATAAACGAAGAATTATTATTATATAAAGAAAAGAAATATTTTCACCATCCTCCATATCATAACAAATATAATCATAACAAAGAATGAGCGGAAGAGATCTGACAATGAGTGAAATCGACACTCGTCGAGTATTTGTCCGCAGGAATGCCCGATCTGTTTCGTGCAGGCCATTAGATTCACACCCATTAGTCACCAACTCCCGATTGATTAGCCACTGATGGAGTACACCGGCGGATAATTAATAATGGCCACTGTGCTCGATGGTTTACGTGGCACGCATAGGCCGTTTATTATATATCCATTTCCACGCGCATAGGTGTGTGGAAGGTCGACAGAGAGAACCACACTTCTATTATAATGAAATTGGTTCACAATTGATGTACCCCCAGGTTAAAATCTCCTTTTGTGCATCAATTACACAATTCAAAGCCGTCAATACGAAGAAAGGAGAACGTATCGAACATGGCGTGTAACAAAGCTGATATTTCGATTATCAGCGTTAATTCGATATATCGCAAACGAGAATTCGATTTTTCGTGCCAAAAAAAAAAAAAAAAAAACGTAAGGAGAAATTAAAAATTTTATCATAGAAACGCACATGGGGGATAGAGATAGAGATAGATAGATAGATAGATAGATAGAGAGAAAGAGAAAGAGAGAGAGAGAGAGAGAGAGAGAGAGAGAGAGAGAGAGAGAGAGACACGTAAGTGAAATGAATTTTTGTTTCATCCGGATATCTCGATCGATTGCCGAGATATAACGATTCGAAGTTACCACTTAACATGGCGCGGAGATTATGAATGGGCCCGTGACCCAGTGACCTACATTATTTTCTGGAAACGCGTACTACGTTCTTTCTGGAATTACGTCTGTCGCTTGTCTGGAGTTTGGGATAGGTCAGTGAAAGGAGGCGCGAGCGAGAGGTTCGAGTAAGCGATTAAAAATTATACTTTTCTTTGCACGACGATATCTCGGGAACCGGAAGTCGTATCGAGATAAAGAGGAAAGCGTTTTAAAGAGTAAGGTTCCGCGTTTCTAATGATCGTTCGTTCGTTGCCCGGAAATAATTATCTTCCGAGTTATAGCGGTTCAAGTTTTTTCTAATTTTAATAGGATTTAATCGGTAAATTGGAAATTATCGTTCTCTTTACATGACGATATCTCAGGAACCAGAAATCGTATCGAGATAAATAAAAATAGGTTTTAAAGGGGAAAATTTCGCGCTTACAATTGTCTTTCATTCGTTAAGCAAGAATCATTATTTTTGGAATTATGGCGGTTTAAAGTTTTCATAATTTTGATAGGGTATAATCGAATTTTTATGTATTTTTATTTTTATATAATTGTTTTTATTTTTATATAATAATTAAATTATACGATGAATATGTTTGTTTTTGAAGGAATATTTCTTACAACAATTTTATGAATGATACATTATGATTTAAAAAAGCCATTTGGAGTTGAATCTTTTTTTAATCGATTGGTTTCGTGTTTGAATTAATTAATTAGACAACTTTTGTGAATTACATTATTTTTGAACGTTTCTAACCTAAATTTTGAATATAAATTTTGTATATTTTTATGTGAAATATATATAAAATATACAAAATTTACTCTGAATATTTGCTGTATGTAAATTGATTAAACGTATTTTTCTAAATTATTTTAATAATACGAAGAGACAATATTCTCCCCTCTCTCTGGATCTTTTATTTAGGGAATGCATTACAAAGCATGGATTAGGTTATTTACGAGAAAACCGAGAAATCCGTTCCTTTGAAATGGAGACGAACCTGCTGCAGATCTTGTCGACGAACAACGAAAACGAATTTTCTGAGAGTGTCGTCAGGATGAGGAGAAAGGCCGAAATAAAAGAAGAATCGAATGAGAAGAAGGTCGTAAAACAAAAACTGGAGAAATTTCCACCAAAATGCTTTTTGATCGATTCACTTAATGCTAAGTGAGAAATCTACCTATCCTCGCGGGACCTGGCCCGGACACATTTTTCCAGTTTTCAACTTGAACGATCAATCTTGCAAACTAGAACTTCCTTCGACAAATAATCAATTTCTTTGAACACGAATTCTAAATTGAGAATTCAACTTATTTTTTTAAAAAATTTCATGATTTTTTTTCAATATTAGAAATTCAAATTATCCTTAACTTTTACAAAGGATCGTATAAATATTTGGATATCGAAATTTTTAAGTTTGAAAATAAAAAAAAATTGTTTTAAAATGTTTTAATAAACTATTGAATATTTCTAAAAAGGAGCGAGAAGAAAATGAATTTTTTTGTCACAAAAATGTTTAAATATTTAAGAAAATTTAAGTTAAAAGGATTTAAATAACAATTTTTAATAAAAGGCCAAATATGGGGTATTAAAAATTATATAATTAAGATTTAAAAAAATTTTTCTTTTCTGTAATACATATAATATTATAAATATATAATTACTAAAAATAAATAATTTGTTGATTGAACGAAAAACAATAATAAACAGTTAGTTTATTATTATTATAAGAAAAATTTGTTATTATAAGAATTTATTATTATTATAAGAAAAATAACGAATTCATTTAAAATAAAAATAAATTCACAGAATTCAATTTGATGATATAAAAATTTTCACTTTTCTTCCAGCATTTTTCTTAATTTTCATTTTATAATACACTTTGATATATTTTTATTCAACGTGTAGAACATGCAAGACAAAGTATTATATCAAATATATTTTCATGATTCACCAAGAAAAAGATACGGATAAAGCTGATTGTCTTACATAAATCACTTTGACCAAAATTCCAAGCAAGAAAAGTACACAGAGTAATCCTGAACCTAAATCTATTACCATACAAGAGTCTTCCACTCTCGACGTATCGTATACGTTCTTACTTAAAATCCCTTCCCTCCCTAATAAAATACCAAATTTCCAATGGTCCACATCTCATCGATATTTGCAGACAATTCGAAATGTAAATTGAACGGGATGATAAGGAAACGAGGTGACTAAAAATAAATAATTTATTGATTGACCGAAAAACAATAATAAACAATTAAAAAAAATAACGAATTCATTCAAAATAAAAATAAATTCACAGAGTTCATTTTGACGATATAGAAATGTTCAACATTTTTCTCAATTTTCAAGCAACAGTTTATATCACCACAAAAGATTTTCATTTTCTAACACATTTTGGTATATTTTTATTCAACGTGTAGAGCACAAAAGACAAAGTATTTCATGATTCACCGTAGCCAGAAGAAAAATATAA